ACAAATAAAATAGAAAAAAATACAAGAAAGAGCCGTAAGAAGACTTTTACAGTGTTCACACTATGAAATCTAAACCGGGTCGAACCTGGGTTACTTAATCCGAATTAATTACACCGGTTCACACTTGAAAAAGAATTACCCCACTTTGGGTTTTTCCCTTCATCAAAACGCATGCGCAACATCTTGTAAACAGCGTCTGTAACAACAAACGAAATGGAAACCGCCACGGTACTGTTCTTCTTTATATTGTCACTGATACGGAAAAATCGGCGGAAGATTACAAATTTAAAGCGAAAAAATAGGTTTGCTATGTTGAGAAGAATGAGGAAGTATTTGATGGCAAGAAACAACTTATAATTGATGAATAGACGCTCAAATTTACAACCGGCAGAAAGGAGGATATGGAGCAAACCCCGTTCACGGAATTGGTGGGACTGTATAGTTCCAGGTTTTACTGATGAAGAATGGATCCAAAACTTCAGAATCAACAAAGAAACATTTGATTTTTTAAAAGAAAATTTACATGATACCTTAGTTAAATGTGATACTCCGTTTAGAAAAGCTTTGACAGTGGACTTGAAAAATGCAAGTACCCTATGGAAGTTGGCATCTAATTGTGAATATAGGACTGTTGCTCATTTGTCTCCTGGTCACTCCAGGTTAGACCTCTCTTTTTTGAAGAATTACCTTGTTCGGCATCCATGGCTATCCTGATATTGGCAATGACAGACGGCAGAAAACGTCACGTAACGCTATGGCAACAACCCCACATTAACTCCACTTTGCGTTCACACTAGAATGTGGGGTAACTAATCCGGGTTCGCCCTACATTAACTCCACCTCAGATGAGGGGTAATTTTAATCCGGGTTCGCCCCAGTTTAACGTGTTCACACTATTGGAATTTAACCCGGATTAATTAATTCGGGTCGAACCCGGTTTAAAAATGCATAGTGTGAACGGGGCATAGGAACAATGGCAAGTGAGGCATTTAGAATCTTGCATAAAGAGAGATCCTATTATTTACAAGACACGATAAAAAATTACAGACACAAAATATTGTTTTAGGTACCAGAATATTACAGAAATTCCTTTAGTACGAACTACAAGGTATGAGCTTAAACATTTCGATATGCTGCTGCTAAATTATGGAACGAGTTGGCAGAACACTTTAGATCACAAACATCATACGGCCAGTTCAAAAATTTAATAAACTCATTGAATGGCAGCTCGTCCGACTGCAATGATTGCTGTTAAAATTTATTTCTAGATGTATATTTACTGTTTCATTGTTTTATAAACTATAATTATCTGTGCATTCTATATTGTTTTAGTTCTTTAGCTTAATGCATGCAAATTATTTTTTTTTCACAGTTTTAGCTTGGTGCATAATGTTTTGGTGCTTAAGCTTAGTGTACGAATATATTGTTTTAGTGCTTTAGCTTAATAAAATTGAGAATGGAAACGGGGAATGTGTCAAAGAAACAACAACCCGACAAAGAGCAGAAAACAGCTCAAGGCCACCAATGGGTCTTCAACACAGCGAGAAAATCCCACACCCGGAGGCGGGCTTCAGCTGGCGCCTTAACAATAATGTATACTAGTTCAGCGAAAATGGACGTCACACTAAACTCCGAAACATATAAATGAACCAAAACTTAGAAAAACATACAAGACTAACAAAGGCCAGAGGTTCCTGACTGGGAACATGCGTAAAAATACGGCGGGTTTAAACATGTTTTGTGAGATCTCAACCCTCCTCCTATACCTTTAGCCAATGTGGAATAAACAAACACACAGTAATACGCACAGTAAAACTCAGTTTAAAAGAAGTTCGAGTCCGATGTTAAAATAGGTAACAGAAGAAACTAAGCAAAATGACAATGATCGACATAAATTAACAAAGGACAACTAGCAGTTACTGATATGCCAGCTCCAGACCTCAATTAAACTGATTGAAAGATTATGTCTTCATCATATGAAAATCAAGCACAATCCCTCCCGTTAGGGGTTTAGTATCATATCATCATGAAATATACGAGAAGAACATAACCTGTATCATGCCAACAACTGGTTTTAGAATAAATGTGTTTATTTCCGACGCAAAGACCCTATGAGTGAATCAACATTAATTCCAAAGAATGCCATCTTTAATGACCTGACAGTGTCGTAACTATATCCCTTCTGAATAAGTCTGTTGAAAGGTTTGGTTAGCTTATAAGGTGAATGACGAAATTTTTGTGCTTTGTATAGGATATTACAATAAAAGATGGGATGTGAAATACCCGAACGTACAAGATTTATGCACGTTGATTTATATCTACGAATGATGTCCTTGTACCAATGATCAAATTTAGTAAATTTTTTTGACAAGTTTGTGATATCGAAAACCCTTGTGTAATAATTTTTCAGTAATAAAGAGATTGCTTTCGTTAAAATCAAATACATTGTTACATACACGATCAAATCGAACAAGTTGAGATATATAATATAAGTGCTTTGAATCTCTCAAATTCATGAAATGACTTGTATATGACATATATCTATTTTTATCATATTTGTGATTTTTTAAATGTTTAAGTTTTATCTATAATGTACATGTATTGTCATATGTGTGTTATGTGTACATTTGTATTTATGTTTAGTTTCTATGTCGGTTTTGAAAGCTGTAACGAGGTTATTAGATATAAGAAGATGTGGTATGAGTGCCAATGAGACAACTCTCCATCCAAGTCAAAATTTATAAAAGTAAACCATTATAGGTCAAAGTACGGTCTGCAACACGGAGCCTTGGCTCACACCGAACAGCAAGCTATAAAGGGCCCCAAAAATTACTAGTGTAAAACCATTCAAACGAGAAAACCAACGGTCTAATCTATATAAAAAACGAGAAAAGAGAAACACTTATGAACCACATCAACAAACGACAACTACTGAACATCAGATTACTGACTTAGGACAGGTGCAAACAATTGCAGCGGGTTTAAACGTTTTAATGGTACCAAACCTTCACTCTTATCTGAAACAATAGTGTTACATCACAACATAGAAAGACACACTATAAAATATCAACTGAAATGGCTTAACTCAATCAAAGGACATATTAACACCAGTGAACATACACTGAACAAATAAATTTGATCTATGATACAATGTAAATACAAAATAAATAAACTAAGGGAAGAATAATAAAAGTAACATGTTATACCGCTGTGAAATGTTAAACAATTTAAGAAAAACAATATGCTCGAACAAAAATATCAGCCATTTGCAATAACTTTAAATACAGGTAAATGAAAATAATTTTGTTGTTAGGTATACGTGTTCAGTTCAAATACAGAAAGGAAATATTTTTACAAAATAAATAATTTTGATGTTCATAGTACGAAGTGAAAATGTATAGTAATACCAAACACTTATCAAAGCTGGTATATAGACCAGATATAACCCTGAATAACATTAAATAACAAAAAAGCATTACAATTAGTATCAACAGGTCAAATAAACAAGAAAGTACGATTTGAGAGTACTCGCAGTTACTGACAGCTAGGTAAAAGCCAAAAACAATAAATAATAAAAAATCATGCATCAGAGACTAAAATCAACTAAAACACATCCCAGGGATTTAGTATTTTAACGTCATGGACAGTCAAAGAAGATATGACTTGTGCAATGCCAAAAATAAATGTATCGACAGGCAGTAGGATAGTTAGGATTTAACCTCTTTATAGATCAAAATGAACGTGGGTGTGTCTTTATACATCCCGTTTGAAAAGAATACAAATTTAGTTATGTTTTAATTTGCTGATGACAAAATCGATATTAGTGCCAATGTAAACTATATATTCAAAGATCCAATTTACAACATTGGTAAGATAACCTTTACTAATAAGTTTGTTTAAAGGTTCGATGAGTTTACACGGATCACATAGTGATTTCTGCGCTTTAAGTACAATATTACCGTAAAATTTAGGATGTGAAATACCGTTTTTAATCAGTTTTCTACAGGTACAGCCAAATTTACTAATCAAATCTTTGTATCTATGAAAGAATTTAGTAAAAGTTTTACGTAATTCATGGTAACGAAATCCCTGACTTAATAATTTACCAGTGATGCATTGATTACGTTCGTTAAAATCTATGACATCACTACACACACGGGCATAACGAACGAGTTGGGATATATAAACACCGTATGATGGAGCCAAAGGAACATCACCGTCTTAAAAAGGAAAATTAACAATAGGGAATGAAAAGTCGTCTCTTTTGTCGTAAATTTTCGTATGGAGTTTTCCTTTAGAGATTGAAATGTCCAAATCTAGAAAAGGACAACTACTGCTGTTTATGTTAGATTTAGTTAAAGTAAGTTCTATTGGGTAAATGTCGGTAGTATATTTAGAGAACTCTGGATTTTTTAACGAAAAAAATATCATCTAGATAACGGAAGGTATTGCTGAATGTATCAAACAAATGTAACAATGACTTGTCTTTACTGAGTTTGGTCATAAACTGAGATTCATAGCAATACAGGAATAAATCTGCTATTAAAGGGGCGCAGTTAGTGCCCATAGCAATACCTAATACTTGTCGATACACTTTATCGCCGAAACGTTATGTTTGTTATGTTATATATATATAATTCATCGACTCTAAATAAAGCATTTGAATAGAATTGAATTGACCTAAAGGGATCTTAATAAAATCAGAGCTATGATGAGGGAGTTTGCACCTTATTTTCTAATTATTTTCTTAATTTAAGAAGCAATGACTACTAGTGATCACTAGTTCCAGTACTTATGGTACCATTGTGAACTTGCAGTCTACCAAAAGCGGTACCGATCCAATTCCTTGACGCTATTGATTGTAAATAGAACAAGTAAGTACATGTGATGTGAAACTATTTAAATAGAACATTAATGTAAACACATGTACATGTAAAATTTAAACCAGGTCATATAATTATATAATAAAGGATTTTCCGAAAATTAAATCTAGTTTCATTTTTGTATTAAGTGTATTTATCTGGATCTGTGAAATGATCTTGAACAGGTACGTAAATTTCATCATGATTTCTAAGGTTGTACAGAAATGCCAAATACATACAGGTATTTTTAGGGGGTGGGAAGGGCGGATAAAAAGTATAACACAAATCTGAATTGTAATTTTCATTTTGTTAGATTTAAATATGTCTTGCACAACTTATGCATGGTTACTAGTTTCCATACGTTTGACAAATTTTATTTTGGAATTGAAAAGGGATATATAATATTATGTTCGCCAGAATATATCCCGTCTTACAGTAAAAACCATGCTAAAGGTGTCCGTTTAACTGTTTGGGGGTGTATAGATACGCTGCCACGTCCCTTCGAATCGGAGACGTACCGATGCTTAGTTTTGAAAGAATGCCTTACTTTCTGAAAGACAAAAAACTCTTACAACAACTCTTTGTGGGTTCCCGAAGGTGGCCTGTATCAAGACTAAATGTCTGTCCGTATCTATCATATATAGTTTACCATCTTTTTTCCAGTCGTAGTCTAAATTCTACGCCCTTCATCCCAGTCCACCCATTTCGTAGAACCTATACCTATTATATCAAATGTGAAATTGTTTACGTTCTCGTTCTAGAGGCCAACATCAAGACGTCTTTTCTTTTGTATGCCCTTTATACTACATGTATAATGCATTTAAAATATCATTCACAAAATATAAGCAAAAAAGGGTTAAATAGAAGGATACCACACCCTGCTCACGGTGTCACATTTCCCCGTTTCGTGAACCTAGAAATATATGTGAAAGCCCTAATTTGGCATATATATTATTATTAAAAAGTTCACATCAGAATCAGCTAGTCTAGAGCTAAGTTTCAAGTTGATGTGACCTCAACTCTCATGAGAAACCATTTTAAACCAAAATGTTTACCTAACAAGAGACGGACAAAACGGACAAACGGATAGACAGAAGCACGCATTGACAGAAGCACGCATAGACCTGAAAACAAGATGCCTCATTCTGTTATCATGGCGTAGGCGGGTCCGTAAATACACCAGCCTGACTTCCATAGCAAGATTGGGTTGAAGAACGTGAGTTTGTTGCTTCCAGGGGGTTGGTGTTGATATTGAAAATGATTTCGCTTATTTATTTGATACTTTTTAATAATATTACTATACTCTAAGAATAGGTTTTTTCTGAACTAAATTTTATTGTAGATTATTAACCAATGACTTAAAATACACTATAAAGTGACCATTTAATACAGTTCCGTGTGTCTGAGAACCGGTCACTACTACAGGTCTAATACCGAAAACCCGGCTAATGTAGAATTTTAACTTGTCTAATACATGATTTTAAATTCCAGTTATTGGTTCAAAAAGGTGTTAGAAAATGGAATTGCATATACTGTTGTTTGTGTTATTCTCAAATTATAATGTTATTGTCATGTCAAATGTTTATGCCCTTCGGGATCCTTAATTGGAATAAGATATTCTTCTTCTTCTTCTTCTTCTTCTTCTTCTTCTTCTTCTTCTTCTTCTTCTTCTTCTTCTTCTTCTTCTTCTTCCTTCTTATTCTTATTGACGTTCAAAGTTTTATTATATCGGTGAATAAAAGAGTAATTCATTGTACATTATTATTTTTATTCGACATTCCTTAGATATAGGAAGATGTGGTATGAGTACCAATGAGACAACTCTCCATCCAAGTTACAATTTATAAAAGTAAACCATTATAGGTCAAGGTACGGCCTTCAACACGGAGTATTGGCTCACACCGAACAGCAAGCTATAAAGGGCCCCAAAAAATTACTAGTGTAAAACCATTCAAACGGAAAAACCAACGGTCTAATCTATATAAAAACGAGAAACGAGAAACACGTATGAACTACATAAACAGACGACAACTACTGTAATCAGATTCCTGACTTAGGACAGGTGCAAACATTTGCAGCGGGATTAAACGTTTTAATGGTACCAAACCTTCTCCCTTTTCTGAAACAATAGTATAACATCACAACATAGAAAAACACACTATAAAGTATCAATTGGAAGGCTTAACTCAATCAAAAAACGTAAATAAACACACAATGAACGAATAAATTTGACCTGTGACACCTGAATGCAAATACACAGTTAATAAAAAATTACAAGGGATAAATAATTAAAGTCAAAAGTAAATAAACAGGTTTAAACAAAGGTTAAAGTATGATATCATTGTGAAATTTCAAACAATTGCATTTAAATGAAAATTAGCCCAATTAGTTTATATTGATCCTGTATGAACCTTCCTACGACCGTATTTGTCCTCGATCAGCTTTTGGTGTTTCTTTTTTTCTGATGAAAATATAGTTTACAAACACTTTGGACCACCAAACACACTGTTCTTAATGGGAGACTCCCACATTATGTTTAATCCTGAAATAGTCAAATCCATGGCGTACGGGAGGCAACTCTTCACATTCATCTCGTTATAGACATACAAGATACAAGATACAAGATATTTTATTAACCAATCATGGTGCCAAACATTTGAGCTTTACAATCAAATGAATTACAAAATAAAGCACAGTAAATGATTAGAATGATTAGAGTGATTAAAGTACATTTAAACAAAAACATATATACACATTTAAACAAAAACATATATACACATTTAAACAAAGTAACATATAAACAATGTCATTGACAAAACATTAAGTCATTTTGAAGCCACTGTGACCTGGAAAAAATACGTTTCTTAATCAATTTATAGTCCTAGGTCTATGGGAGACAACTCCTGGTCGATTTTTTTATTTTTCTATTTTTCAAACTACATTGATATTTTCTAGAAGTTTCTTTCGTTCTTCAAAAAGAGAGTGCAATATTTAAGATACATTTGAAGAAACAAACAAATCTTCAGATGAAAGAATCCAAACAAATTTCATCTCATCAGATAACTTTGAAAAGTTTTTGAATTTAGAATTTAAATTAGACAGATGTTGAGATCTTGTATTTTTCAGAACAGGACATTTTAAAATGTAGTTTATCTTCAACTGCGTTCTTACATAGCTTACACTTTCTGTCTTCAGCTTTTATACCAATATACCTCCCTCTTTCAATTTCAAGGTCATGACAACTAGTTCTAAATCTTGTAATTATTGTCCGTCTTTTTTTGAATTCATTCTTGTATATGGTTCAAACATAGACATAGGAAACATAGCGGTTTTCAAGAATCAAACTGTCGCACAGGAACGCACAAAAGGCAAAATTGAAGAAAATTCCCATGTTTTCACAACATTTTCCATAAACATTTTTAAAACTATGTTTGAGCAAATTACCGTGTGAACAAAAATTCAAGGATTTTTTTTTAATGTCTCCGGTAAATGCATGTCAACTCGAAAGATGAATTTTAGAGGCAAAACCTAACTCACTGATATAAATTAATACATTTTCATTGACTTTAAAGATAACCTTATTCCATTTTATACTTAGTCCTCGTCACAACTGTATCTCCGTACTCGAAAGACATTGATAAACCAAATAGTGCTGAGAAAGTATGACAATCTGGAGTTTGTTCATCACTGGTAACAAAATTCTAAAATATGATTATTCCCCTTTTGTCGCCAAAAGATAACTGTAAAGGCTACATTGCATAAAAAGACAACCGAAAAGCTTGATATTTAAGTTAAACTCTTAATTTCGTAGTTATAGCATAAACATGTAATCATAAGAATTGAAAGCTTCTTTTTATTATTTTATAGGATCGTAAAAGCGTTTATCATGCACACAATTTTAGAATGAATCGCTTCCACGCTTCATACAAAACGAGGAAAGCTTTTAAACCAAAATAAAATTCTGAAAAGAAGCATTCAATTCTTAAATAATTATGGAGAAAACTTTCTCAGCTGAAAAACTTGTGTCATTGTTTTTGGACAATAAAATATGTTTAAACTAAACATCTAAGAGAGGAAAGACAACTTTAAAATAATGAAATGTTTTATTTCTAACTTTACAGCCGGCTGATTTCATGTCAAACTAGTAAATACTTTGTTCGTGCTTTAATACATAATGCGAAATGGCTGACAAAACGAATGTAACATCGCACGAAAAGACAAACAATTCACCTAATACACTTTCAAATTCAAATTTTGTTGTTGTTAAGAGTGCAACAGAAAGTATTTGTTATAAAACAAAAGATAATGTTGGAGAGGCGAACGAATTAACAAAACCAGTACCGGTTGCATGTACCGCGGAAGAGAAAATATTCAGCAGAGAAAATAGTCCGTTTGAAGTTGAAGTTTCTTTGCGATCACATCACCAAGGACCAAAGACAAATTCTGCTGAGGTTGAAAAACATAAGAAATGTGTTAATGAGGATAACTTACAAGAAACTGTTACTGGAGTATATGACGTTTCAACGCTTTCAGATTTAGAACCAGATTATGAGAGTAATAGTTATGGTAAATCAAAATTTGTAAGTGAGGAAACTTTAGATTTTTCAGTAGAAATCAACAGTGCAAATGGAAAGACGCCACATTTACGCCAAGAGATAAATGAATTAGAGAGAAAAGATACTACAATTAGAAGAAAAATACACGATGTGAAAGTTGAAATCGGACACACACAAGAATCTTTGAAGCAAAATTCAAATAACAACACTGCAGATTATTGCGAGAAATCCTGTGCACAAGAATCTTTTGAAACACCTTCAGGTGGCGAAACCTCGACAGAAAAATTGAAAATGAATTCAGATATGTTACATAATGAAAACAAGTCGTCAAACAATGAAAGGAATAAGGACACCAACGGTTCTCTATTTAAACATGAAACTACAGGAAAGAATGAATCTCCAGATAAAGAAATGTTGTTCATGTCAAAGCATTCAAACATTGCAAGTTTTAACAGTTTACCTCGTGTTATAAAACCAGACGAACAACAGCAAAATCCAGCTACACTGCGCGGAAAATTGTATTGCCAAAGTCACAACGAAATTGTCAAATTTTGGTGCTTGGAATGCAAGTCTTCAAAATGCGAAATATGTGTTAACATTTTCCGCAAAGGACCTTGTGTTGGGCACCCTTTAAGAAGTCTAAAACTGCATACTAGTATTGAGGTATAATATAAATAAGACAATGAATGTACACAAGGAGAAAATATTTAGTATTAATTATTTTACATTGAAAAAAAAAATGATGAACGGTCCTTTAAACGGCGAATTCGAAATACTTTTAATATTTTTTAGATGATGATTATGATTTGTTGACCATTCACACATTAGAAGTATAACAAAGGAGAACATTTTGGAGCAATTAAGTCGTAAAATGTAAATAAATGAAAAGGAAATAGGTCTTCTCATTTATTATTATAGCGACAAAGAGAAAATTATTAATTTTCAGTTCGTTTCTTTATCAAATGGAAACATACAGAATTTGTTTTGGTCCAAGCGTTCTTTTAAATTATATTTTGAATTCAGATTAATTGCTATTATGCCATCTCCATACAACCGTAACAAACCATCTGATGTGATGTTAGTGTGAGAATTCGTCGAAAAGTTCTTTTTAACATCATATGGGCAAGTATAAATGAATGGAGAAACTAGAAAGTAAATTGGACAATTTTTACTTATTCGTAAAAAATTCTTTCATATCAAAATACACAATATATATACATCTGTACAACAAGATAATAATGAATGAAAATACATAAAAAAACAATAATAACATATTACATAACATATTACATAATACAATAGCTTGGCCTATAAAAGGGGTCAACTAAGCCAAGCCAAAAATGTCATAGTTAGCCAAATCAAATCACCCAGTACTGAACTCTTCAAAATTTTACAACTGGTCCGACATCCCATTGGGAGGCAACAATCATAGTAGAACTTATTATTCCATTTAAAACCTTATAATTCATTATCTGTCGGATTAACTGGAAGGATTCTAAAAATTGATAAAATCCCAAATAAAATCTTGTTTACATAAATATCGATCGTGTTGATTATCAAGAATGTGACAAACTGTGACGTGTTGTGTAAAAACTGCAACACGAGATCTAGTGCAGGGGCTCCCCAAAGGGATAAGCTAAAGTTAAATTAGAATAAAACTAAAGATTTTCGTCATTTGCATTAAATAACTTGCCTATATTCTCTTTTAGGATGGTGTTTTCTTGTTTCTTTTTGCGGTGTGTATTTTTCCAAAAATAGTTCACTATGCACTTGTCTAATGCTAATGACAATTACAAAATGTAATCCGTTGGGGGTACTGATGGATATTTGAGTTTTGGAAATCATGGCCTTTTTTTAAGTCGAAATTGGGCTTTCAACAAGCTCTCAGTATTTACGAGTATTCTTATATTCGTTGATGGTTGTTGATGTTATTAGCTTAAATAAATACGTTTCTTTTTTATTTGTTTCACATTTTGTTATTCCAAGACCTTTTATAGCTCCATATATAAGATCCTGTTTTTGATCATAGTTTCGATCTGTAGTTGTTACGTACTTGTACTTTGGTCTTAGGTGAATAGCTGTTTCATTTTTATATGTTTGTTCAACCCTTGCTTCAGTTACGTATTTTCAGTTTTTGTATATTTTCTGTTGTAACTAACACGTCAATTTTGAGCTCGATAGATCATCTATCACACAGTCTATCAAGCCTTGTATTTTTACTGCTTGTACATTTTAGATTGATTTCCGAGCTGTCGGTCATGGTCCTCACTAATACTACGAATTACATATTCACAGTCCGTTCACACAAATGACAAATGAACTATCACACAAAATTTCACAAAAAATGTTTGACTATACACTTGTTTCCCTAAATGTACCCTTAGAACATACGATGGTGAGTGCTTTTTGGCAATAACGAGCAATGCCAGAGAGAAAACAATGGGTACCTAATTATTAGACAAAAAGTTAAGTGTCGATGCGTAATATAATCCCAAAGAAGAGCTTAGATTTGAACAAATGGTTTGTCTGCACACATCTGTTCCAATAAAACATTTGAACAAATGGTTTATCTCCACACATCTGTACCAATAAAACATTTGAGTTTAGCTAGTATCGCCGTGCAGAATCTTATAAAACACTGGGACTTTTTCAAAAAGTCTCAAGACGATAATTGATCAAAATGTGTACTCTTAGCATACGAGTATTTTTTCGTAGGGCAGTTTTTAATGCAAATGACCCGCCGTACTTTAGTTCTCATTTAACCTGATCTGTACTGCAGGAAATTCAGAAACACAGCAGTTATTGTTTGAAGGTTTTGGATCAAGCATTTAGGGAACTTCAACGCAGTGATCAGGAAACCCAGGTAAGAATATGAGAAAAAAAAGCAAGTTATAACTTATTAAAAACAAATGTAAAAATTACAAATTCTCTAAACGTTCTGAAATATCTTGGTCCGTTGTTTTATAAATTTATTTATTTAGGCATCTTTAAAATTAGTTTAAAGGAGAGAAATGTTGAGACATGAATTACAAATTCCCACCAGCAGAGAAGTCTTAATAAAGGTTCTCGATAAAGACATGTGTTTCTGGAATTTTCACCAAGTGGAGGATGGATAAATTAATTGATTACTGCTTTACATATGTGTGTGGGATTTTCTCGCTGGGTTGAAGACCCATTGGTGACATGGGGCTGTTTTCTGTTCTATGGTCGGGTTGTTGTCTTTTTGGCACATTCTTTGTTTCCATTCTCAATTCTAATGTATAGATTAGAGAGAATGTTAAAGACAAATAAATTAAAGAAGAGAGGCGAAAGATACCAAAGGGATATTCAAACTCATAAGTCGAAAATAAACTGACAACGCCATGGTTAAAAAAGAAAAAGACCCAACAGAAAAACAAAAGTACACAAAACACAACATAGAAAACTAAAGACTGAGCAACACGAACCCCACCAAAAAAACTGGGGTTGATCTCAGGAAAAGACATTTTAACTTCTCATATTTTTTTTACTATAACTTTTCTGTGCACAAATAAAAATTCATTGTGGCATTGCTACCTTAGAAATAGCACGATTGTTTTTATTTTTAAGTTCAATGCACTGATTCAAAAAGATCGAGTTCAACAAGAATTCATATCATTTCACCAACTACTTATCAAAAAAGAAAGCATGATACTAAAGCATCTAGAAAAGGTAAATATTTATAGTCGTTATTTAGGTCTTTCCAGTTACCAACAGGAACAGTTAAGGTATTTACTATGAATATTATTTACTTTCCGCCCCATTTCTAAACATTTTACCAGAAAGGATTGAATTGATCATAGAAATATGGTCATGATCCATGGTCTTCTTCCATCCGTCCGCAAACCCTTGCTAAAGTATGTGGCATGTATAAAAACGTAGCAAAGTCCGGTCAGAATGATGACGATATACAAATCGATTGCACATTAAGAAACCTTTGTCATAACTCATTTTTGTCTGTTGATGGACTGATGAATGGCATAGTTTCTGCATCTATCATAAATACCCTTATTTTGCAGTGTTAGTTGGGACATCTTGGTTGACAAACCTTACAAAAGCTCGATCCCTATTGGATATTTTGTTAATTTGTTCTCGTCCTGGATATGCAAGAAATGTTTGTCACTGGAGGTTTAGCAAGCAAAAATAAACAACAGAAACATCTTCAAGAGAAAGTATGCGTCATATCATAAAATTTGGCATCAAGTATCGAGCAATTATAATGTATTCGGGATTGCTTTTTGTAGACAAGAAATCTTTCCGACACAGAAACCGATACAGGCAAATGAAAATCGAAGGTCGGAACATTTTCTTGGTTAATGGTGGTACTTAATTACATTTTGAATGAAACAAATCCACCGATGTTTGTGAGAGATACTTCGCGCGAAGTCTGAAACGATTTATATGTAAAAACGTGAAAACCACAAGTTGAAGATCTTCACCACTAGAACTTGACAAAGTTAAATTAAGGCGACATTAGTTTACCAATGTTCTAACCTCGTAAAAAGGTTTTCTAAATTGTTCCTACTAAACTAGATAAAGGGCATAAAAGAAATAGCCATATTCATCTTAGGTCAACATTGCATGAGGGACAAAACTCTATTATTTGTAATCCTTTAATTGGTTATTTATTATTTCTGAAGAACTTGAATTTGATACAATAAACATGCAGGCATAAATGAAAATTCATATACTTAATAGTTCTGTGTTTAAGGTATAAGTGACAACTATTTCAAGCATCTTAAGACCAAAAGCAAATCAACCAATAAATCAATAACGTAGGCTTGGCAAATTGTATCGACCATGATGAAGGGCAGGCTGAAATTCGGATTTCCACTAGCAATGTGAATGCAATATATATATATATATATATTCATTTGTAGGGTTAGCGTCTAACTTATATTAATTTCATTTGTCGTTTGATTGTTTATTTTAGACTTTGGAAGATTATTCTTTGCAAACTAGGGAAACTGTGATAAAATATGGTTCACTTGTTGATGAAGAAGCTTCTTTAATGTGTCAAAGTTTACGTTATATCGATAACGATTCAGTTGTAAGTAAATTAACGTTTCTTTATAATATAATTTTGCTTTTTCTTTGCCGCAAGAGAACTGTTCGGTCGATACCATGCACTACTGGTGGAGGTTACGTCTCCGACCAGTAGTCAACACTTCTGTGTTGACATAAAAGATTGTCAATATTGTCATTTTTATATTATTTATTAACTGACTTTGAATTGTTTAAATTACGAAGGATTTTCTACCACAGGAATATATTACCGTAGTTGTATTTGGCAAAACCTTTCGAAATTTTTGGTCCTCATTGCTCTTCCACACTCGCTTTTGACTTGGCTTTTTAATTTGTTTGATTAGAGCGTCACTGATGAGTCTTTTGTAGACGAAACGCGCGTATATGGAGTACAAAATTATAAGCCTGGTATCTTTGATGATTTGTTTTCTAAACCTGTAGTGAAACACCTCTATATTATTGGTACTGTGAACTTGAAAGAGTCTTGGCGTACCAGTTTTTAAATTAACGGTGCTGAAATTCATTTAATCATTCTGGAAGTTTACCTGCTAAATTTTATCGTAATTTCTGTCTACACTTTTATCAAAGGCCAATTCAATTGCCTGACAGATAGACAACATCATTTATATACTTGTTATTTATAATAATTAACCAATCTAACTTTACTGACAATACTGAGTTGTATTTTTCTCCTATTAGTTTGATCCAAGGTACTGTCAAGCATGATTCATAGTAGATAGTTTAAGATTTTGTCGAATGCAGTTCAAACTGGAATAACAACAGTTACTGTTTAAGCTTGTTCACGTGGACTTTAGATCTATAGTGGTTATAGTACACTTCCTACGGTGCTAAGAGAAAAATTAATTATGACTACAGTGAACAAATTAAGTAAATTATTTTTCCAAATTTACATATACAAGACATACTAAAAGCTATTCATGGTTTCCGTTGTATTATAATGCCTTATTAGTTTTGTTGCAGTCTAATTAACGTGTACACCACATCTCTTATGTTATGTATATAACAAAACTTAGAAAATAAATACTGATGCATTAAAACACGTTTAGTGTTAACAAAAACGGTAAAAACCAGAATTTTAAAGTTATTACCTTTGAATTTTGACAGTTTTGACACGAGAAAAAATATTAGAACAGTAAGTAACATCACAGACACTCCTATCTGTTAAAAACGTTTTTAACAGAGACAAGTGTCTGTGAGTAACATCCCAAATCTAACAACATTAACTTGTCATCCTATAGGTCGTTGACAGTCTCCTACAAGACAAGTAAGTATATTCATAATAGAACCCATAGCGATATAGAAACACAGTTTGTAAAACAAGTGTGTATAAAACAATTGTTTAATCCCAGTTTACAAAAGACCCGGGGTCTGTTTATGAAATATGTCGTAACTTAGGAAATGTCAAAGGAATCGTCTTAAGTTTAGGACACCGATTTAGGTGTCTTAAGATGGTCTCCGGATATTCCTAACTTTGGGATATATTCTATGATGGTTAATTTGTAAACAAAAACGACCACCACCTATTATTTTAGGGAATAGGACAAATATTTTTTGGTAGAAATAGTCTATACATTAGTATAGATTATCACGTCCGTAACACAGGAGCTTGGGGAATGAATCCCCCCTTTTCCAGATATTTTTTGTGTGTATTTTGTATTTCATTTAGTATATGTTATTCAATATTTTAACTTGTATTCACTTCTTCTTTATACCAGATACTTATATCAATTCTCCTTTTTGTTGTTGCTCTTGACGTTTAGGAGATTAAATGAATAAATAAAAGATCTTTTATTTTGGAATGTCAACATCCCGTTCCATGCATTTCATAAAATTTAAAATAAGTTCCTCTATAATTCTAACAATAACAAGAAAATGATTCACAAGTAATGCTTAGCATCTCTTTACACCCTTTATGAAGAAAAATATTTCATTGCATGAAAAATAACTTCATAACAATACAACAAAGAAAGTTGCATATTTTCTAGAGAGTGGTGTTACATGCGGATTTGGTTTGGTACAGGTACATGAAAATAGACAGTTTCATTTTTTATCCTCAATTATTCTTATACCCCCGCCTCTCTGTCCGTTCGTCATATGAAATTTTCTTCGCCTTTTTTCAGGAACTACAAATCAGTGCTTCCTGAAATTTAGTATGACGCTTCATGTGAATATGCTATACCGTTAGAAGCATTTTCACATCGGCGGCGTGGCTCACCAGCATCCTGTGTACCGAAGTTTTTTAGTTAGGGGTTATCGTTAAATCTGCAATAATAGCTCACAGCACAACTGTCATTAAGTTCGTTAGATTTACGTTTTTTTCCAATAAGGCTAATGCAAAAGGTTTTTGCTGTTAATTGGAAATTGGCAACTTTTGACGGATCTATAGAGGCATTATGTATTATTGCCTTTAGATCAGAAATTCTACTTGAACCAAATATTTTGGAAACTTTGAAAAACCATATAAATACATGGGGAGTAGTATTATCATAAGGAATGAAGAATGAATACTTAAAACTATCGTAAATGTTCAACTGCTAAAAATTTAATGTAAGAAAATATTTCATTTCATAAACTAACAAGAAACGAGCTGTCAAATTGATACCAAACCGGATTTTCTGTTATTTGAAGGTAACCATTGAAGAGGGCAGCTAGTACGCATGAAATTCATGTATTCTAATGTATTGCGCCTTCAGATTTGTGCGACCTGCCACGTTCTATGCCTTTTTACCAAGTCATTAAGAATTTATTTAATGTCTGGAACGGTAAAAGTGAAAAAGTCAATATCAAGATTGACCGCCATTTTGTCATTTATAACAACCTATTAAAATTCGACAGTAAAATGTTTATAGTTGTATATGTAATAAAACTAATATAAACATTCAAACTTTTTATCGGATATTTACCGCAATAATGTAAACATGTGTGTATACGTGATGTTGGTTATTTGTACTTTAATGATTTACTATTCGATTGGTACTTCCAAAATACTTTTTTTTCTAGTATCTTACATGCATGTATTTACATATATTATTTAAGTCAGTAAATAATATATATTGCAGATGGGAGAAGGTGAGAACTGAAGCATTAGATCTTTTAAATTCGATTCAACCAATGCCAAGTGCTTTTAACTACAGATTTAGCTTGTTCCAACAGAAGACCGAAATAGGAGAGCATTTGAAATCTGGTAATTCTTTAAAAAAAAATGGTATAGGCCAGAATTATTTTATGCTCTTAAATGACAAAATAATTGACTTCCAAAACCTTTGGTCCCGAGAAAACATAATAAGGATCAGTCTAGGAACAGGTGTCGCACTAAATCGGTATCGAACGTTGCATAACTACACTGGATCAGTACCATTGCTGGTGAACTATCAATATCCAAGGTTACTAGAAAATAGTGCTTCGGAGATGGTACAATAATTGATGTAAAATAATGTTTTCATTGTAAGAATATTCAAGCCATATTTTATCTTAATCCTGCTTTAAAAATGTTACAACTCTAATAACCAAAAAGGATAGGTTTTATAATTACAAATGAAAAATACCAGAAACCAAATGACGTGGACGATTTTGAGGATTTTTCTGTCTTGTTTAGGTCAGTTTAGGGTTTGATTCTTTGGAATATGAAACGAAATAATTCATTGCAGCATGGTTTATGCACTAACTTACATGTATCGAGATCAAGAGTTTTTCTGCGATTGACTTTATTTTTTTACTGATTGACCTAATGATGCATAATTTAAAAACAATCACTTAGGGTCTATGTAGTAAATGATTATCTGTTGTGAAGCTAACAAGTTAATGGTACACGTTTTATTTTCTTCATTGGCGGAAGTGATCTTAACACGGGAAATACAGTAGTTGTGAACATGGTACCATTCGTTAATGCTCGGAAAACAATTTCTTAAACAATGTAACCAATGTTAAAATATCGAATAATGACCACCCTGTAATATGTTTTTGAATTTTTAAAGTTGAAAACCTAAATAACTGCTTTATATAAATAAGGAGACTTTCCATATTTGATTTATATCACCATTGGCCAGAAATATTTTTCCGAAATAAGAAATCGTTTCACTAAGTAGTCTTACGCCATTTTAACTAGTATACAGTTGTTATCTTTAATAGTACATTCTTGTACATTTTTATTTTGGCTTTCAGTTTTTGAAGCAGTTAATTTTTTTCCCGACTATAGAGGCCATTATGTTTTCTGGTTTGCATCCATTAGTCCGTCTGTTTGTCTTTCCCGTTTCAGGTTAAACTACTGAATCATGTTTTTGACTTTCTAAAGCTGAAAGCCTAAATAACTGTTTTATATAAATAAGGAGACTTTCCATATTTGATTTATATCACCATTGGCCAGAAGTATTTTTCCGAGATTAGAAATCGTTTCAATACATAATCTTGTGCCATCTTAAGTGTATAGTTGTAGATTTTAGTTGTACATTCTGGTACATTTGTATTTTGGCTTTCAGTTTTTGCAGCAGTTATTTGTTTGCCCGACTATAAAAGCTATTATGTTTTCTGGTCTGCATCCATTAGTCCGTCTGTTTGTCTTTCCCGTTTCAGGTTAAACTATTGTTGACCGTAGTTTACCATGGAGTTGTGGTCACATCTACTTGAAACATCGTTGACATGCTTATTAAGATGTGAACATTAACTTAACCCCGATTTCACTGTTCACTTAACATGGAAACGTGGGTACACGGTACATTCTCATCTTAAAAATTGCCTTTAAGGTATTTTACCATTATAGTTCATTATAGTTCATTATCAGACCAACTTGAAACTTAGTACACATTTAAATCAGTATGACTGAGTTTTCACATTTAATGTAAAATGAAAGTGTGATAGTAAAAGTATTTGACTGATTCTGTCGATGTCTGCTAAAACATATACACATATACTTTTAGTTACAGTGCTAGATCCATTTCAACTGTGCACAGTAAGTTCCACAATTTTTTTGGAAGATAATTTTATGACAGCATCTATGAAAGTATCAGATCTGTTCGCGTACAAGATTCACGACGATCTTTGTCTGAAACAATACTAGATATTAAAATCATCTGTGATAAAAAGATATTATTCAAAGCAGTCTTAAACATGACCGACTACCTATTCAATTACGATGGTGGATGTTGCCTTCAAGAATGCAAGCGATATCTTGTCAAAGCTATGGTTGTTACGAATGACAAGGGAAAAAAAATGACAACAGACAAAAGTATGGAGAGATACAAGCATGTTTTAATTGTCACAGGTACTTTTTTTTTTTATTAACGGCAATACAAAAAAAAATCATACTTTTAAATATCCAGATTTCAGTAATGATATTGTCTGAAACAATTGTATATTTTAAAATTGATATTTAAATTAATTTTTGTAGTTCTATTCTGTCATGGAACGGACTTTAACTGTATATTGTTTTTTTTAATGATTTTTAATGCATCTTATTAATATTTTCAAAACTTTTCAAATGAAACTTACTGTTTTTACTGTAGACGAGTTCTGAAATAAATTCGAAAATTGCAAAAGTGCATGAAATATTTGCCATTGAAATTCAATATTAACAAACAACAATAAATCATATAAAGATTTTTTTAAGTACAACTGCTGCATTGTTTAAATTGCAGCCAACATAGTAATATATATGATTAAATTATTAATAAATCACAATAGCAACAATGGAAAGGACAATTTTTATTTTAATACAAACTTACTATCAATAGCAAAATGTTTCTGACAATTAGAACAATTGACCGAAAAAGTAAAACTGAAGTGAAAAGAATCTCTTTCTAACGTAAGTGTTAATTTCTGCTTTTAAGGTATCTCAAAGCTTTCAAAGACACGTTCAATTAGTAGTTCACCTTCCAACATAGGCCTTAAAGTGGCATCAGAATTAAAGAAAGGAAGTGTAATGGATATTTTAGGAAAAAGTGGCAGTGCATCGAAAAGATTCACAGAAGGTACTTGCTTTTAAATATGTGATATATATGTTTAATACCCAGAAAAATGCCATCCGCCCCACGTTTTCAATCCTCCAAAATTATCCATATGACGCCACTGTGCGCCCAAACATGTCTAGTTTGTGTAGGTCGAAATGTGACCTTTTCATCAAATCATGTCCATATTTTAGAAATGTCAAAATGTGTCCACCTATTAAACAAGTTATTCGTTTTCATATCGGTTGTTCAAATCGAGTGGAAATTTACCACGTGTATTTCATTTATAGATCAAAAACAACAAAGATACCAATTGTATTGTACTTTTTGCCAAACCGTTCGACTTGGGGGGGGGGGGGGGGGGGATAATGTAACAGGCATGTGTAAGGAGGACATTAACGCTCTCCCCATAAATAAATAGATCACTTTGGTCTCTGACTAATATCATGAAGATTCTGTTTAGAACATTTGACACCACTTACTATTCAATAGTAACTACTACGTATACTGCACCAGATGCGCATTTCGACAATCAATGTCTCTTTAGTTATGATCGAGGCAAACATATTTGAAAATCAAAAACTTAACAATACTATGGAAATTTGTTAAAGAACAGTATACTTTGAAATATTTGAAACCACTTCTTCAAGAAGAAGACGAACGTTCGAGACCCTCATCAGTCAACGTAGTTAATTATTTAAACACTCCCGGAGAATTTAAGCACACATGAACTCCCTCAGTAAACAAGGATTTCAACTGTACAGAAATGAAAATTAAACCAAATTGCCTAAAAGAAAAAAAAACGAAATAAACAAAAGAAATAATCAAAATGTTAAAAGTCAAATGCATTTTATTGATGATGTTACATTTTATAGGAAGCACCATTTGCCATAGTACTTACATAGTACTTACATAGAGTAAACTAATAATATTTAATATCTATGTTTGTAATGGAAAATTTGCATCTGTGACAAACATTGAAAATTAAACATCTGGATTCCTTGTAAAACATACAATTATATCATTTATACATTGATTTCTTTATTGTATACTTTGTCTCACCTTTCATCATCAGACAAATTTCAGAATAGAAATTAAATATGAAGACAATAATTAAAAAAGTACTTTTGTTAAAGCCCATTTTACAGCTGTTTTGGGCGTGTGAATTTCAAAAACAGTTATTTAGCATTCAGTTGTGTCTTAAATTGCAAAGTACATATTATTTAATACTAATACATGTATAAGATAATAAGATTTTCTGATATTTATATGTGATTCGAGATGAAAAAGAGAGTCGATTGCTAAAAACACTTTCTGTGACCTACATTTCCTTGATGAGTACCATTTATCAATTCATTTTCTAATACATATGGTGTATGATGGGATGTTATAAATACCAGAATATTTTATCTTTAAGCGTTCCTCCAGAAACTTCTAGCATTCTTAGTTGAGGGATTGTGTAGTATTGTTTGACTTGTACCAATGTTTATTATTCATTCTCTCTTTCAGAAACTGTAGAGTCTAGTGTTGCTTCTGTTCTGAATTTCATTTTACTTTCTTCTTTGTTCCTTACTGTTTTCTATTCAGTGGATAAAATACTAGTTCAACCCTACTACTACTGATGACGTTTCTTGATATTTCCTGTCTCGTTTTACCGTTTGTCACAATTCAAAACGTACAATGTATCAGTGACATGAAGTTGCTAGATCTAGACCTTACTGTAAAACCCTAACTAGAGTCATTAAAGACCCAAAACCGAACACTTTCTATTGATTTTCCTTATCATTTAACGTATTTTACTGACAAAACTTTTTTTGCTTTCTGCCTGAAATGACAAACACGAATACGAATTAGAAAATTATTGATAAGAACACCTGTTTTGAATTATTTCTTTAACATGACGTCATATATGATCAAATAAAATTGCAACCACAATTTTGAAATACAATGTATAGACATTTTCAGAATGTGGTTATATGTATTAGTTTGAATGCCTCTTCAGCTCTTTCTATGAATTATTTTAAGAATTTTCAAAAGAAAACTAAATTATTAACATAGAATAAAAACTGCTTGTGATTATATGTAATTTGTCCGCGAGATAACTCTAGAAATGAGGAAAAAATATTCAAAATAGCGTTTTAATACCTTTATGTTTGACTTTAGTACGATTATAATTTATTGTTTATGCTTGTTTTTTTATGAACTCAGAGTCCATTTTAATTAAACAGAATCAGAATTGTACTAGGTTGTTAAATACCATTGCGATTGTTTATTTATTACAGGAAATATATGTGTAATTGAAAACGTAAAAAGTACGCCGCATGCGGAAATGACGACAGCGCTTAAACAAGAGATTGAAAAGGAAAGAGTTAAGCTTGGTGATGAAACGAAGACAGCTCTAGAACAAGTGATTGAAAAGGAAAAAGTAAAGCTTAATGCGGAAATGAATACAGCTCTTGAAAAAGAGATCGAAAAGGAAAAAGTCAAGCTTAATGCGGAAATGAAGATAGCTCTAGAACAAGAGATCGCAAAGGAAAGAGTTAAGCTTGACGATGAAATGAAGACAGCTCTAGGACAACAGATTGAAAAGGAAAAAGTCAAGCTTAATGCGGAAATGAAGTTAGATCTAGAACAAAAAATAGAAAAGAAAACAGTCATATTGAATGCGGAAATGAATATAGCTTTAGAACAAGAGATCGTAAAGGAAAATGTTAAGCTGGATGCAAAAATGAAAACAGCTCTAATACAAGAGATTGAAAAGGAAAAAGTCAAGCTTGCAGCGGAAATGAAGACAGCTCTAGAAAACGATATCAAAAAGGAAAAGGTCAAGCTTAATGCGAGAACGAAGACAGATAATAAACAAGAGGTCGAAAAGGAAATGGTCATTTTAAATGGGGAAATGAAGACAGCTCTAGAACAAGGGATCGAAAAGGAAAAAGTTCATCTGGATACGAAAATGACAGCTCTTAATCAAGAAATCGAAAAAGGAAAATGCAAGCTGGATACGGAAATGATGAAAGCGCTAGAACAAGAGATCGAAAAGGAAAAAGTCAAGCTGGATATGAAAATGAAGACAGCTCTTAAACAAGAAATCGAAAAGGAAAAAATCCGACTTAATGCGGAAATGAAGAGAGCTCTAGAAGAAGAGAAAGAAATGGAAACAGTAAAGCTGGATGAGAAAATGAATACTGTCCTAGAACAAGAAATCGAGAGGCAAAGAGAAAGTTATGTTAATAAACAATTGTCAACCCTTATGGAAGAGATCGATAAAAAACAGTCGTATATTGACCAACTAAAACAGTAAGATAATTATTGTTCTGAAACAAAATACGGCAATTATAACGCACAAAAGTAACAATGCAATGATACAAGGTTTTGCACTTATGTATACACATTTGGGTCAATTATATAAACAAATAAGAATGTCAAATTCCATTATTTATCTTAATGAAAAGTGCAGGATTTTGTGTAGAAAAAAACAGTCGTATATTGACCAACTAAAACAGTAAGATAATTATTGTTCTGAAACAAAATATGGCAATTATAACGCAAAAAAGTTCCAATGCAATGATACCAGGTTTTGTACTCATGTATACACCTTTGGGTCAATTATATAAACAAATAAGAATGTCAAATTCCATTTTTAATCTTAATGAAAAGTGCAGGATTTTGTGTAGAAAAAAATACATTGTTAACCTTCATCGTAATTTGGTCTCTGATGGAAAGTTGTCTCATTGGCAATCATATCATATCTTCTTATTTTCATATTACAGAAAAAGCAAAAGTGAAAGTTAATAACACAAAAGTATTTTAAAACAATAAGATTGTCCATTTAAAAATGAAAGAATCAATCTTTCAGCATGAAACGATATTTTTAACAGGCATACATTTGGGAACACGAATATACTGTCAGATAAATGCGATGCCGTATTCGTTGATATTCAGCCGTAACCTCTCCATATAACATTGGTAAAATGGCATAAATTGCATAAACCTTAACATGGCATCATGAGAAAGGGTTTTTTTATATCGTAAAAATTTAAAAAGAATACCAAATTCTACTATTAAATAAAAAGAAATACTAGGATTTTGACATTAGATGTTTTTTTTTCAAATTCTGATAAAGAATATGTATAATAATAAAATTTACGAAATATGTGCAGTTTTGAAGAAATATCTCACAAATTAACCAGGAATATGAAAAAATCTTGAGATGACATTTCTTCATCGCAAAGAAACTTCTGTAAAACTGTCGTTGTATATGATTTGTCACTGGACGTTAGACAGTCACCCATCATCGTCATCGTCAAAGTTTCGTAACATTTTTCTTCACGTTTTGGATGCCTAAATAAATAAAAGTATGAAGGTTTGACAATTTTCTTTCGCGGAGGCTCGACAATAGTCCGAAGTGTCATTTTCAAATTACCTCATTTTTTTACCTAATTGTTTTGCAATTTTGAAATTACATTTTTTTGAAATTCTTTAATCTATAAAAAAAAAGCCTATAAATTGTATAATAAAAAAATTATTCAGTATTCAAGTTTTATGAAAACATATTCTGCATCTGAGCTAGCAAGTTTATGTTTCAATCACATAAACTATGCCTTTGAAACAAGTTTTATCATAGTGCTTTATATTATTTGTTTTACTCAGGGCTCTATTTCTTCTTTATTTTTTGAAATAAATGTGAAGTGCTTCTTATATTTCGTTTTTAACACAACGCTTCGGTTCCAGAATTATGCTTTCAATAACAAAAACAGCTAGAACAAACTATACAATTTTATGCTCATTAAACCCGTTGTCTTTGTTGTTTGAAATAAAGTACAATTGACTCTACTGTTTAGCAGTTGAGAAATCCAGATATATATATATATTCCGCCTAAAATATTTATTTGTCAAATCCTTAAAAAAGCAAACGCCCCTTATATGAGACTGATTTTCCATAATATTGATCTACATAGTGCATTATAAATTTTATAAAGCAATCGATATACATGGAGTTAAAGTTATATTTTTGTTCTAGAGAAAACCAGAAACTATCGTTACATGTTGGTCATATTGGAGTTGCAGTTTATTCAAAAGTGCCTACGGAATCAGAGTCATCCACGATGAAAAGAATTTCCCCAGAAATTCAAGATAAAGAGTTAGAAGAACAGAATCTCGAACGTCTCGAGGAATCTGTGGTACAAGTAGATCTAAGTATTTTTTTTATTTCTAGCAGCAAAAATATCGAACCTAAAGGTAAATTCTAAAAAAGGTGAAGTCAATAAAACCTGACAAAATCAAACGCTCGACTATATCAACCAACGAAACGAATGAAAAACAACTGTTATATTCCTTACTTGGTACAGGCATTTTGTGATAAAAATGGTTAGTTAAACCTGGTTTAATGGCTAACTAAACATTCCATGAGTTCCAAAGTAGCTAGAAGAAAACAACGTTTTTCAGAATGCTTTAATTATGAAAAAGTCACAAAACTGACAAATTCAATGTCATCTTGTTTTTTTTTGCTTGTCAAAGCATTTGCAAAAACATTACCTGTGGAAGATTATAAAATTAAATGTAAAAAAATATGTTTTAAATCGATTTTACTCAATAGGTGTGTTTATACACTTTTCTGTAAAACAGAATAAACGAAGAAATAGATTTTAACGTATTATATAATAAACATGTTATGCCATTAACAGCTGATTAATATTTACAAGTCTAAAATGCAAATAATTTTGACATATCGACACTCTACGAAATTAAATACTGCGTACAAAATGATCATGTTTTCTTCAGGCTAAAGAGTTACAGAAACTGAACAACATCAAGAAAATATTTGTACTAGATATTCAGAAAAGATTGCCAAAAGTAAGATATATATTCATAACACCTGATATTCGTTAGCTGTCCATGTTCAACCTTCTTGTAAATATAAGACAAATAATGACATCTTTCAAACACAAAAACTCGTCCTTGACACATTTAATTATGTCAAATTTTTTCTTTCCCATATCAAATGTACATTTTGTACGTGATTCGTACCTGCTAATTTTAGATCATAGCAACATTAAACATGTTAAAGACATAATCTAGAGTTCTAGACTGGTTCTCCTGTCTAGATAAATGTTCATATTACATATTTCATGTATAGAACAAGGTGATTATACATAGCTGGAACACTGTCTATCTAGAGTTATTCACCAAAGTTAACGATAAACGTCTATTAGAAAATAATGATCAATTATAAAAACATCATAATAATTACCAATTCTAAGGTCAAATTGTATATAGTTAATTTGTGTTATAACTCATCTAATGTCAATCAAATTAATTATGTTACAGACTCGAACGGATAAAAAAGATGACGAAGAAGATAATAATTTGCAAGGAAGTCTTGAACAGCAAATGAAAATATCATTTTTAGAAAATAACCTTGATCAACTCACAAAAGTTCACAAACAGCTTGTACGGGATAACGCAGATTTAAGATGTGAACTACCCAAATTAGAAAAACGACTAAGAGCAACAATGGAAAGAGTGAAGGCTTTAGAATCTGCTTTAAAGGAAGCCAAAGAAGAAAATATAAGAAACAGAAAGAGGTTTGAAGATATTTCAATTTAGAAAAATATTGAACGAAAAATAGGTGTTGTCCTTTGAGCTATTGAGCAGTATCCCAATATAATGTATGAAATCGATATCAGTTAACACTGAACATATAATGAAAAAAGAAATATATAAGAACAAAAATTTTAAAATATAATAATGTTGAGAAGCAATAAAATATTACAGGTAATATATTAAGACTGATAACTAGACCATAGAAAAAGTAGAACTATTTATTATAGTGCAACCTAGATAAACAAATAAGTACATGTTTTATGATACAAAACAATCAGCCTGCCAATTCGCTTATGATGTACTTTTTTATGATACTAGTGTATTCTGAATCATGAAAATTAATTTTGAAATCAAAATTTTTGTTTGTTACTAAAATGAAAGAAAAGGTAAACGCTTTGACAAACAGATATTATAAGATAGGTTTGTTAGTTTATACACACTATGTTGATTGATTTTTCAAAATTGAACAGTCAATAATAAAATTTGCAACAATTTTACTCTTATTACTATTTAGGAGTTCTTTTGATTTATCCATTGATGAAAGGTTAGGGAAGTCATAGTCATGTAAAGTTTGAAGCTTTCAAAGGAGTTCGTTACGAATGTTGTTATATAATGTACAATTAATCATGAAGTGGAGCTCATCTTCTACTTCGCCACTGTCTCACATTTTGCATAGTCTTTGTTCAACGGGAATATTTTTGATACGTCCCTTTTCAAATTCTATAAGAACGTTCCACATCGCATATTCGACAAGGTTGATCTTTGGTTTCTGGTGAGACATTTCTTCAGATATTCTTCCGTTATGAATTGTGATTTTATATGTTTAATGTTCTGAGTTTTGGCATATTTTGAACACTGTCAATCCACGACAAATTATGACGTTCTTTTAAAGAGTTTTTCACACTGCCCAACACATGAGGGATTGAAAAACTGTACGCGTTTTTGGGTGGTACTATATTGTTTAGTCTACAGGATTCTAGTGTTTTGGCGTTATTGAACCAGGTATTCCTGTATCGTTTAGAAATTTCTTGGTCTCATTGAAATGCTTTGTGGCACATACGAGAGTCCGTTAGTCTGAATAACCTGCACAGTAGCCGAATAACATTGCATTATATGCTATGCATAAAAACCAGGTTCCATCCAATTTCTCTCGTTATATCCGGTAGGTGAGTAGCCATATTAACACCAAGAAAAGTTCGTATCGCACGATACTGAAGAAAAGGGAGTTGAAACCTTAGTTTCTTTATAATATAAAGATTTATAAACGGACAATTTTAGAAAGGGTTGTTATAAATTATGTCAGTATAAAAGTACTGACTACTGAGCTGATGATACCCTCAGGGGCTGATAGTCCACCGGCAGAAGTATCGACCTAGTGCTGTAAAAAATGAAAACAACACGTTATCAATTTCGTGCGTTCAAACGCTTTTCCTCATTTACCTTCATCAAGAACACCCAAAGCCGAATATGTGAAAGCTAAGGATGTATAAGAACCGAAACATTTGAGGAGTGATATGACCAAAAAGGACCTAAAAAAATAGCCAAATCCATCTAAGGTCTACTTTGCCTGAGGGAGTTGAAACTTTAGTTTCTTTATGATATAAAAATTTATAAACAGACAATTTTAGAAAGGTTTGTTACAAGTCATATCAGTACTGACTGCTGAGCTGATGATACCCTCTAATTAAGGATGTACACCTCTGAGGAGCCAAAAATTTCTAGAATTAAACTTTGTTTCTTAACCTGATTTTTGGGTTTATATGACTAAAAAAATAATTGGTGAAGAAAAAAATCATATGGTGGTGCAATTCTTGCTACAGCCATTTGAAAGTACCCAATTTTGATGAATTTCCCATTTTTCTTCAATTTTTACCCATTTTTGGGCTATTATCATGAATAAAAAACACAGTTTCGCAATTAAACTTTTTTTCATACTTTCACTAAAGATGAAGTGGGCCAATCTGAATAAATTTAACTTAAAAAAAACTATAGGTATGTGTTAATATAAGAAAGTTTTATAAAATTTTGTTGCTTTTTCGTGTCAAATTTACCATGTTGTCAACTTTGTAAATTTGGGATTTTTCTCTTTTTTAGAACAAAAAGCATATTATTTCAACTTCTATGTTATAAATGATTGAAAAATTACATATCTAAGAAATTTCAAAAGAAAAAAATGATATGGGATGTACATGTATCTGGTAAAATCATTCCTTGTACCCCTCATCCATTTTCTAAACATTTTGGCTAATGAGACTGACTTGATTGGTTATAAAATTTGATAATTTTATTACTCAAAAACTACTTATTGTAATTACACAATTTTTTCACATTGATATTTTCTACTTATATCACATGTTTTGGAAATAATTCCAGAACGAGATTTCAACGTGGCTGAAACGTCAGAAGAATACATCCTTAATCATACCGATGATGATACCTCTAATGAAGCCTCTCTTATGAATCATGCCGTTTACAGCCCAATACACCGGATGCGTAATCTATCATCAAAGAAACAGTGGAACACTTTCGTATATATAGCATAATCCATACCATCCATTTCATAGTATTTTGAGGCAAGTGAACCAAGGGACCTGCTCCCTGCTGATACCAGTTCATCAACTGATTCTTTGAAGTCTAAATACTGTCTTATTACTAGTCCGAGGTATCTGTATTTTGGAACAATTTCAAGGGCCATCCTATTGAAGTAGAATCTGAATTCACTTTCTGCTTTAGAAGCTTTTCAAACATGCATAACTTTAGTCTTGTACGTATTGACTTTAAGGTTCCATGTTTTACTCTATCAACTTTCGCGGTTTATTTGTGTTTGCAGTCCTTCACATCTATCCGATAGAAAAACTATATCGTCCGCATAGTGAAAACAACTCGTACAATCATTGCCAATATTAATACCTCAGCCTAGACGATTAATTTCTGGAACAAAGTTATCAATAAAAAGTTTGAATAATGTAGGAACAAGACTATCCCCTTGCCTTACCCCAGTCTATACTGCGAACCAGTCAGTTAGTTGACCATTAAGCAATTTTGAGTATGTTGCCTTAATTGCCCTGTACATATTACCACGTATTCCAATTGAAAATAGCTTATGAAAAAGCATAATGCAACTGAATCAAAAGCTTTACTGAAGTCGATAAGCACAAACATGTATCTTTATTACTTAAATTTCCGGTTTCTAAGAATGGACCATAGGCTATATATGTGATCAAGACATGAGCGCAATTTTCGAAATCCATTCTGCACTTCAGATAGAAGGTTATCCTGCAGGCAAGTATGTAGACGTAGTCTTTCTTGTAGTTTTGAAAGCGCATTTCAGATTGTCTTTTGTTCGTATGTCTCCTTTGTACTTCAGATATTGCTTTGCAGCATCACTAGCGACTTTGAATAAAAGTTTTAGTTCGTTATTCCAGTACGTGTGTTGATATGCGTCATTCGCTTCTTCATATTGTGTTGTAAGTCTTTATATTGTAAATGCTCAGACATCTCAGTGTGAAGTGTTTTAATCAGAGTTTCGGACATCGTGTTAACTTTATTGTTTTGGACCAATCCAGCGATATCCTGACAAATCAATCTGTTCTTCGTCTTGAGTTTCGCACAAACCAACTCTGTCGCAATTTAATGAGTTTATTATAAATATTCTGCGATCATTACTACTTTGTGATAAATACCAACCGTTGCAATTCCAAATACAAATGAAAAGTTCCTAATCACGTTTCGTATTTGACTGGCAGACATATTAATTGTCTTTTTGAACAACACGTTCTTTCTTGAATTCAAAGTAAGTAATAGTTTTGACGATTCGTCGAAGATTTGTGTCCTGCATACAATCATGCCTAGATCGGTATAGTTCGATGTAGATATTTTATACATTGTAATTTTATTCAGCTAGAATTTGTTTTCCAACGCACTTTAACGCTGTGTATCATACGCAATTGCTACGATAAGCGGTTTTGGTCGTTGTTCAACGGTCGGATTTGTATTCCCGTTATTTGAAGTATTGATCCGTTTAACGTTCAGGATATCAATTTCTAATCCAATAGAGCTTAATAGACCGTGAACATAATCCTTCAGGCTATCTTCGTTTTCATCATCGATTTGTGTCACGTTTAAAAAAAAAACAAGCTTTGGATTAACACTGTTCATTTCAATGTTTACATTCTATGTTTGTTTTAGCTCAACATCTGTCATTTTTATTTTATTTTCGAGTTCTTTTATTTTATTATCAACTTGTGCAAACTCGAAAGTCATCTAGCTTTCTAATGTCGTCTTTAATTTGCTATGCATTAGTTTTCTCTAAACTATTGAGTTCTTTAAAGAGCCTTGGTTGGTAAGCTTTTATGACCACAAGACGGTTGTATATGTCTTCAACCGACCTATTAGCGTTAGTAGGCGATTTCGCTAAATTTAACGGACTTTCAGATGACTTGCTTTTCATAGTTGTTGATTTTTTACCAGATGTTTTTGAGAATCGTTTGGGATCTGGATAGTGGGTGTCACAATTCGTGTTGGAGGAGCTATAAAATCTACGATTCGCATAGTTACTATTCCTGTGCATGTGTTCTGCTAGAATTACATATCAAGAGTTATTTTATAGTCTATGTATTGTATGTCTTATTTGTAAGCAATTTTTCCACATATTTCTATTCATTGAAAATAAACAACGTCCATCTTGGTGAGCCTCATTTTCGTCATATATGATATCACAATTCATCATAACATAATTCCTGTGTATATTATATATGAAAAATGAAATAATTAAATGTATTTCCCATAATTGTACAATGTTGATTTAATAATCATTTATAAATAAATAAGAAAATTACACGTATCTGTCATTAGTGTTCACACTGTTAAGTCCAATTACAATTCATAGAACATTTTAATCATATTAATTTTTAAAACTTTTCCTGAATATTCCTTAGGGTATTTAGTTTCAAAACTGTATCCGGGGTTTTGATCCGTTAAAAACATGGCGGGTTTTGCTAAAATAGACTAAAGCAGTTTGATCAAAACATATAGAATTAAAATGATCAGCATGTCAATGTCTATCTTTTCAACAATTGTCCGAAAATTCAGGCAACCTATTTTTTTTAATTTCATAGTTTTTGGCTAATATCCCAAAAACTAAAACCGACCAGGTAAAAAAGATCTGCATGTCAAGGTCTTTTCGTCTGTAAGTTTTTTCCATTTTTTTGCGAATTTTGAAGTTTTTGGTTATTATCATGAAAACTATAATAGATGGAGACAATTTTAAAGATCTACAAATATGCCAACTTGGACGAAATCATCAGATGACCTCTCATAGGAGTTATTGTCCTTGAAAGGCGATATTTACCTAAGTTTTGGCATTTTTAATGGATACTATAATAGATAGAGAGAAATTGTAAAAGAAAAAATGTTCAGCAAAATAAGATGAACAAATAATCTTACATGGCAAAATCGTCATTGAATGAATCCTTATAGGAGTTATTTTTTTTACCTATTCTTGCAGAAACCATAATAGATAGGGAGATCCTGTGAATAACAAAATATTTGAAAGATGCATTTTGCCCGTCTTTACAGAAACCATAATAGAAAAAGAGAAACTATAGATAGCAAAAATATTCATCAAAATCAGATCTAAATATCAGTCAACATGAGCAAAATCGTAAATAGAACACTTTTAGGTGTTATTGCCCTTGAAAGATGGTTTTTACCCATTTTATGCATTTTTGCAGACAACATAATAGATAGAAAGAAATATTAAAAATGTTCAGCAAAACACGATCTACAAATAAGTCAATTGCACAACGTCATGTTTTTCTCTGACTGTTTATGACGTCTTTACACTAAATCCATTGGATGTTGGATGTGTACTGATTGATATTTTAGTCTTAGATGCATGATTTCTTTTATAAGTTGTTATTGGCTTTGAACAAGCAGTCAGTAACTGCGAGTACTCTCAGATATTTACTAAGTGTCTTTTTGTTGTAGGGATGTATAAGTACCCGTCCACGTCGACTCTGTGTTTTTGTTAGATCTATTTTTATTTGTTTCTATCTGATGAGTTAAGCCTTTTTCAACTTATTTTTATAGTTTGTTCTTATGTTGTACTGTTACACACTTGTCCCAGGTTAGGGGGAGGGTTGGCGCCTTCAAACGAGTTTAACCCCGCCACATTCTGTATGTGCCTGTCCCAAGTCAGGAGCCTGTAACTCAGTGGTTGTCGTTTTTTTGCTGCATAACATATTTGTTTTTCGTTCATTATTTTTTACATAAATAAGGCCGTTAGTTTTCTCGTTTGAATTGTTTTACATTTGTCATTTCAGGGCCTTTTATAGCGGACTATGCGGTATGGGCTTTACTTATTGTTGAAGGCCGTACGGTGACCTATAGTTGTTAATTTCTGTGTCATTTGGTCTCTTGTGGAGAGTTGTCTTATTGGCAATCATACCACATCTTCTTTTTATACAACATGGCCGAAATTACCAACTGACTCCTTATATGAGTTATTGCTCGGGAATAATCATTTTTACCCATTTTATATTTGTTGTAAACACTTTAAAAGATAGAAATCCGCATTATATAGCATAAATATATGTAGTAAATTATGATTTACAATTAAGTCAACATTTCCGATATCGTCAATTGACCCCTAAGAGGAGTTAATGCCCTTGAAAGATGATTGTTACCCATTTTCCTTTTTTTTTTGGCAGAAACTTTAATAGATAGCAATAGTTAATAGCAAAAAATGTTTAGCACAATACGATCTACAAATTAGTCATCATATACGAAATTGTCAGCAGACGCTGCCCTTGAAAGATGATTGTTACCCATTTTCCTTTTTTTTTGGCAGAGACTTTAATAGATAGCAATAGTTAATAGCAAAAAATGTTTAGCACAATACGATGTACAAATTAGTCATCATATACGAAATTGTCAGCAGACGCCATATTATTGGCCCTGAAAGATAATATTTACCAAGTTTTTGCTTTTTGTAAAAAAAAAACTATAGTAGATAGAGAGGAATCTAAAAAATCAGAAAAAGATCTACAAATAAGTCAACATAACTGATTGCAGTCAAGGTAAAACTTAATTTCAAATCGACATGTGTTTACCATGTGATCGATTCAGCCTCTCGTTTTTAAAATAAAAAAGTCCGAGTACAAATACACAGACATGAAATTTCAATAGGGGTAGTATGTACAAAGAACAGAGTTACAACAAATGCGTCAATAATATGTGTGTCTTCCGGTATACATGCTTTATAGTTCTAATACTTAAAAGAGAAAAAAGAAGTTCCTGTTAAAAAATGAGGCACTAGATGTTACAAATGGTACCATTTGTAATTCAATGAATGGCCATAGAAACAAGTATATATTCTCTATATATAAAAAAGAAGATGTGGTATGATTGCCAATGAGACAACTCTCCACAAGAGACTAAATGACACAGAAATTAACAACTATAGGTCACCGTACGGCCTTCAACAATGAGCAAAGCCCATACCGCACAGTCAGCTATAAAAGGCCCCGAAATGACAATGTAAAACAATTCAAACGAGAAAACTAACGGCCTAATTTATGTACAAAAAATGAACGAATAACAAATATGTAACACATAAACAAACGTCAACCACTGAATTACAGGCCCCTGACTTGGGACAGGCACATACATACAGAATGTGGCGGGGTTAAACATGTTAGAGGGATCCCAACCCTCCCCCTAACCTGGGACAGTGGTGTAACAGTACAACATAAGAACGAACTATAAAAATCAGTTGAAAGAGGCTTAACTCATCATCTATGCCTATTTTTAAGACATATATATAAAAGTTCAATCATGGAACGGAATTTTAGATTTTCATGTCTTTTCATCATAGCTACAATAGCAACACTCATTACACTTAGTACGCATTATACAATATTTTTTTCCTGATATTAAAGTCACACTGAAATCAGGGCTATATGTTTCCTTTTTAGAGACCGTGCGAGACACTTATGGGTAGTCAACGTCGTAATACACCCCCTGGTAGTATGTTTCCCTTTTGACTTATGATATAAAAACTTATTAGAGAAATGCACTACATTTAAGTGGTATTAGCCAGATACGGACATGGCGGCATGGTTAAAACTCGTCAATCTGTTGCTTTGTTTACCTCACGTTTCAGTACAAACAAAAAGCTTGGTTTGATTGAAAACAAAAAGAATCACATATTTTGGGATTACACGGAGTGTTCAACTTCACTACGGTGTCTATAAATTGTATGTGCTATCATTTAACCTTGATAAAAATACATTACAGATATCAACACGAGGTAGATAGAATCAAAGACGCAGTTAGGCAGAAGAATTTGGCCAGAAGAGGAAGTTTCTTTAATGTTGATAAAGGTATTACAAATATCACGTGTCTATACTATAAGTATAAATACTAATAGTATTTAAGAAGGAACGTAAAATTTTGATAAAACCGTGCAATAAGTTATTTTTATAACTATTTGCATGATCTATTCAAAATAACTGAGCATGAACATTATAAAATAAAAAATTCAGAGAGAAGATGGGAATAGTAATAATTTTTTGACTTCGAGCATCCTTGAAGAGAAATAAACTTGTTGAAATTCGCATCTGATTCAGTAAAATAGATATCGTTAATGTTATAAGAGAATGAATATAACAAAACCTTACTACTTCATTTAATGCAAAACAATATTGAATTTCATTAATGTTTCAGTTAGTTTTTGTATTGTTAAAATATGGTATAACTAGAATCTAACAAAAATAAAGATTTTCCTATTTGAAATAATCTTTCATGAGATGTTACATTGTAACTTTATCTCATGTTGGCTTCACCATTGTTTGATGATGATGATGATGATGATGATGACGATGACGATGACGATGACGACGACGATGACGACGACGACGACGACGACGATGACGATGACGACGACGACGACGAGACGAAAAATGCGTATTCGTGATAATATCAACGAACATTTTTTTTATATTAATAAATTTTAACAAAATATTCAGATAGTAAAGTAATTTTAAAACATTTCGTTTTTTGTTCATTGTGAACAAAAAACATTATATATTGCCATTACCAAGAAAATGTTAATCGTGATGTCAGCATTGACTTAGTATAATTATGTAGATTTTACCGCAATACTTCGTTGATAATGAAACAGAAATTCATAGATTTTCCGGATTTTAAATGCACAAAAAGTGCAAAAAACTTTAACTTTAAAGCAAAAGTAAATTTCAATACTGATTGGAAAGCGTGATAGATATAAAAATAAGGAGATGTGGTTTGTTTCGTAAAGTTAATAGATACCATCTCTTGAATGAAAAACGTGTCAGGAGTATAATTTCAAATAGCTTTAGTGAAAGATCAGAACTAAAATTATAATCAACATATAGTCAATAACAGATTAATAAAACTTGGTTGAAATGCACGAACAATTAAACAGATAATACGTTCACATGTCAGTTACAGGTGGAATGTTTTGCCGCTGTATTAACGCTTAACTCAATGTTCGTTGTGTGTTTTTAAGGTATTCGTATATATTTTAAGAATATAAATAAAAAATCTTTTACTGATGTCTAACTGAAAAATATATAAATATTTTTTTTTTATAGATTGTGGAAAAGATTACAGTTGCATATTTTTTGAACAAACAACACTTTTTATATATAGAAGTGATAAATGGGAAGAAGTTGGAAAAGGAAAAGTGAAGTTGTTACATAATGCAGAGACATCGTACATCATGTTAACTATACAAATGGAAATAACCATGTTTATTTTTAACTTTTTAATAAATAATAAGGTACCACTTAGGCAGGAAAACACTACTTTCAATTCACCATTCGGTAATCCTTGGGTTTTAAGCGTAGTTGATATATCGAAAGGCACTATGCATCTAGAAAATATTTCGCTACGTTTCACTGAATGCACTATCTCTGAAAATTTCAAGCGTACATTCGATAAACTACAAGTACTGTCGCAAATACCATCATTTTCAGGGACAGAAAACAATAAGTCTTGGCTTTGCACTGATTGTTTATTTTGGAACAGAGGTGATGAAGATATGCGTTTCTGCACTTTTTGTGGTTCTCAAGCCAAAGATGAGTAACATGAAAATATTATACTGTATGTGTTTTTAGTCATTCTGGTATACGAATTATATTAATATTTTTACAGGACGTATTATGGTATACCGTTGTCCGTCCGACTGTCGTCATCACGTGGGACAATAACTCAAAAACGCTTTCACCAATTTTTCTGAAACTTTGGTTAATTGTTTATATTTATTGACGATTTTTTTTGAATTTTCGATTTTTCGTTTCCGAGTCATGTGATTTTTTGATAAAACAGAATGGGGGATTTTTCGGACTATGACTAAAAATGCTTTGAGAAATTTTCAGGAAACTTTGGTGAATTGTTTATGTGTAATGACACAAGTTCCTTTTCGATTTTTTAAAAATTCTGATTGTACGTTCTGGAGTATATATTGGGACTTTATCCATAAAAGAGTGGGGATTTTGCAGTTTCGGACAATAACTCAAAAACGCTTTGAGCAGTATTCTTGAAACTTTGGTGACTTGTTAATATCTATTGAAATAAACTCCCTTTTGTTTTGTTTTTATAAATTTCTGACATTGTGGTATTATGGAATTTTATTCGTTGAAAAATCGTCAAAAACTGTCAATTTTTCACACTTTGGTCTGTTATTGAATTTTATTCGTTCAAAAATCAAGGTCACAAACTTAGTTAAACTTGAAATAGCCTTAGTAGTGCCAAATTATTCATGTTTTGTGTCAATGGGCAACACTCTGTCTTTAACAAAAAATTGGGGAGAGGGGGAGGGGGGTCTATTTGAGATAATTTATGCTCACTGTATTTCTAGTTGATCACATAAATTCATTTAAAACATAAAGACGCGCTAAAATGGTGACGGCAGTATCATGCGCTCATGGCGCAGCTCTTTATTTAGTATAGATTTCATTCATGCAATCAAAACCTTTATTGCACTTTCGTGATTGCTATCAAATAGTCGATTTAGCACAACTTTCTATACATCCTATCCATGGAAATTTCAAGAAAGTTATCAATGAAATGTATACTCATATATTCAAGTTCAAAATGAGGTTATACATGTGTATAACCATGATGATGGGCAAGAAAATTACATGAATTGTGCACGATGAATATATCCATCTGTTCTGAAAATATCAATGTTGTCATTAAAGTAATTTTCAAAATTTGAGATATCTTCCTTTCTAAAAATGAGGCAATGTGGTATATTTCCAATGAGACAACTATCCACCAGAATTCAAACGAAGAAGAAGAAAGCAATTATAGGTCACCTTACGGCCTTCTACAATGAGAAAACCTTAAACCGTATAGTCAGCTATAAGAGGCCCCTACAAGAAAAGTGTGAAACATTTCATACGAGAAAATTAACGTCCATAGTTTTAGTTTAATCGACTACAATTATGGACAAAGGAAGATATTTCCGTTTCCTAGTATATCCTTCCAATGATTAATAAAAATCGTATTAAAGGGCAATAACTCCTATGAGAAGTCGTCTGACAGTACTGATGTAAATGGACAATATTTTGAACATTTTTTCCACTTACAGATTTTTTCTATTTATAACGGCTTTCTAGATATTAGACAAAACTTTCATTTAACCCTTGTGTTCTTTTTTCAGCCATGTCAGCAATGTTGGTTGCCAGGCGGTGTTACCGGACATATTTTTATTCAAAACTAGATATTCCAATGATGATTGTGGCCAAGTTAGGATAAATTTGGTGTTGTAGTTTCAGAGAAGAAGATTTTTGAAAAGTTAACGGACATCGACGACGGACAAGGGCGCCTAGTGACGAGAAAAGCTCACACGGCCCAAAAATAGACCATAAAAACTGAACAAAAACAAAACATGACAAACAAAATAAAAGAAAATAACCAGCATAGATTTAATTTTCAATACATATTTGTTGTTTAATAAATGACAACCATATTTTCCTATCCATGGAAAAAAGTAAATAACAAAAATACAGAACTCCAAGGAAAATTCAAAACGGAAAGTCTCTTATCAAATGGCAAAATCAAAAGTTTAAACACACCAAACGAATGGAAAACAACTGTCATATTCCTGACTTGGTACAGGCATTTCCTTATGTAGAAAATGGATGGATTCAACCTGGTTTTATAGCTAGCGAATCCTCTCACTTGTATGACAGTCGTATAAAATTCCATTATATTGACAACAATGTGTGAGCAAAACAAACAGACAAAATAGGTAAAAATGTCAAAAAATTGGGGCACAGCAGTCAACATTGTAATATGTGAAGTAATTGGAGATTTCATATAAACAATATAAGTGCTTTTAGTTTGTTTTAAGTTATTGCAGCTTTTTTGTTACGATATGATTTTAATATTATTAATAGAATAGAAAATGGAAACGATAAATGTGTCAAAGAGACAACAGCCCAAAGCCGCCAATGGGTCTTTAGCGCAACAAGAAAATCCAGCACCAGGAGGCGGGCTTCAGCTGGCCCATGAACAGTAATGTATACCAGTTCAGCGAAATGAACGCCACACTAAACTCCAAAACATACAAATGAACTAAAATTTAAAACACACACCAGACTAACAAAAGCTAGAGGTTCCTGACTTAGAACAGGTGCAAAAATGCGGCGGGGTTAAACAAAAACACAGAAATACACAGTAAAACTCAGTTTAAAGGAAGTCCGATGTTAAAATAGTTAATAGAAGAAACTAAGCAAAATGAAAATGACCAACATAAATTAACAAAGGACAACTAGCAGCTACTGACATGCCATCTCCAGACTTCAATTAAACTGATCGAAAGATTATGTCTTCATCATGTGAAAAACTTCAATTCCTCCCGTTAGGAGTTTAGTACTATCATGCAATCATAAACTATACATGAAGAACATTACCCGTATCATGCCAAAAAAAAAAAAAAACTGGTTTTAGAATAAATGTATGTTTTCCGATGCAAAGACCCTATGAGTGAATTGATATGAATTGTTTGTATTTTTCTTTTTCTTCTTATCTATTTTACCGTTATTTTATAGTAAAATGAATTTTATGTACTGATTTTTATTGAGTTCTTTTATGTACCTTGTGTGAGTCCATTGATCGATATATTTATATAAAAGCGAGGATTTTAAATATCTCAAGAGACTATTTTAACCCTGCCACATGTCCATGTGCCTGCTCAAAATCAGGAACCCCATCGGCGGTTGTCTTATTCCATATCTTATTTTTTTTTTATTTGAAAAATGTGATGTTGGTTGCACATCTTTAATAGTTTTAGTCTTATTTGTTCCATAACTTGGGCTTTTTTATTTACATCGGGACGGTGTATTATCTTTGCGTATTGTATAGACACCTCTCTTTCATTAAAGACGATGATTTTTATATAAATGTCTTTGGTTTTTATGTCGTTTGGTTGTGATCTCATTAATATATACCCCATTTCTTCTTTTATTCATATAAGAAAAGGTTTTCTTTCAACTTTTCACTATTTCCAATTATCCATCATTTCAGCTTGATTCATGAAATGTTTACACAATTTTGCAGAGTTACAGTTTTCCCGGATTTACAATGTTGTTGTATTTTTATTTTCACTGTTACTTTCATGATCGTATCTGTACTTTTGATGAAGTATGTAACGTCCTATTTCGGCAAACATTCCATTACCTCGCATAACACTTGCTCGACTCTCCCATCCTGGAAAAGGATCAGGCCAAGTAGTATGTACACTGTAAACGTCATTTAAAATCCAATCGAATTTCTTGGCTTGGGTTTTGAAATTCTCTTTGAACGTTGGATGGCAGGTTCGCTTTTTTGAATGACAGATAACTTGTAGCCGAGGTTCGATATGAACAGAATCGGGAAATTGTTCATATACTTTATAAAGTGAATATATAGCATTGAACCACCAACTATTAGGCTTATAATTTTTTAGATTTTCTTGCCAATGTTTTATGAAGTCGCTTCTGGGTTTTGCCATCATAACTCCGGGATTAATTGTGTCCGGATAGTACGTCCAAGGTACAATATCGAAAGAGACAACGGCACTGTAACCTTTCATTATCAAATCATCAACAGGCTTCACCCACATAACATCCCAATCGGTGTAGATTCCACCATATCGTATTAAAATATCACATCTCGTGACGTCACTAGCCAAAGCCAGTAGGGTAATTTTATTTCCATAAACAAACTGTGGCTTATGTTTGTAGACAAAGATAACACGTGGATCCTTTGATATATTTTGCATATAATACCCAGTAAGGATGACATCACAATGTATGTATAGTTTTTCAGGATTAAGGATAGTTAGAACACTTCTAATACTTAAGTAGTTTTGAAATGGTAGATAACGTGTTCCATACCATACCATGTGAACAATCTTCGATGTTACACTTTCAGAAGTAGTTTGTGCATCAATTTCAGAACGTTCGTACAATATTCGTTGTACTAAATTAGCAAACGGTGAAGTCGAATTGATTACGTTTATCGGATTTAGTTTTGGTACAATTAAACATAGTGATTTTCCACCAGTGTAAGTGTTTACATCTTCACACTTTATGCTATTTTTGATAAAAGTATTACTATGTTCTAGCAAGTAACGACTTTTAAACCTAATGAATTTAGTGCTCTCTCTTTCTGTAAATATAAAACTGAGTTTCTTCATTTTGTCAAATGCCAATGAGAATCTTCGTTTCCTTAATGACCGCAGTGAAGATGTAGTAAAGACATTATTGGAGAAATAAATACCACCTTTATCTTGAAGTTCTTGAAATATGTACCCGAGTGTACACTGGTCATCACGGTCAGAAGTTCGATTTACGGTTAATACATAAAAACCTGGTATAGCATTCTTTAGAAGTCCTAGCCACATATTATAATCATTATAATTTTCCAAATGGATGGAAAGGTCAGGCTTTTCACCGGTATTAGTAACAGATTCGATATAATCATAAATGGTCGTGAGAACTATGGCGTCAGGTTTTAATGTTCTCCATATCGTAAAGATACTGAGATAAACATTGAATGGAATAGTATATCTTTTACACCATGAAAAGTACACAGTATTTGGAACAAAGTTACCTTCAAGATCTTCTGCAGCATTCATTTTATCGTAAGTATAATTTTCTGGTGAAATATTTATCCCTTTGATCTTTCCCAAATATATTTTGCTATCAAATGTAAATGGTCTGTGATATTGTGTTTGGACTCGAACAACGTGTCTCAACTTCGTAGTATAAAGTAAAATAACTAAAAGACACAATAACAATATACCAATGACATGTCTTTGATGAAAATGATTGAATCTTCTAAATAGAAAGTGGCAATATTTTCTGAAACAAAAAAAATAAGTACTTAACAAGCGAAAATAAACATTTTTGAGTTTTATTATCTAAGTAATGTTAACTGTTCGGTCATGACTTAAACAACCAAGTACATGTAACAGATGAAAATGTTCATTATGATACGAAATTAATTTCCTAGGCTATTATCTCTTACGCATCTAAAACCTTTTTTAATAAACGCTATTGGATTTACAATTTCATCTAAACTTGAGAGTATTTGGTTCGCACTCCTGTGATATAATTAAATTTACCTCATATTCTTGTAAATCTCGTTTTAGTACTTGTTATTTATGCAAAATATACATGATCTTAATTAACCATGACTTTTGTTCAGGTATTGATTACATGTTCAACAAAATTTAAAAAAAATGTAAAACATGTTTGAACTACATATAAACTCAAGGTGTGCACTGAACTCGAAAATACAATTTAAGGGGTCATGTCGAAGATTTTATAAGATTTTTGTTTAACATAATTATGTTATGTTTACTTGAACAAACAATCGAAAAAATAATGCATTCATCTTTTATGTTATCGCATGAATTCTTTCAAAATACATGTGCATTTGTTTAGAAAGCGCGTTAAATTGATGGTCTTAAAATTCTCTTTAAGTCAAGTCTTCAAAACCAAAATATAGATTTCCCCTCTAAAATGCTAAGTTGTTGTCACATTATTTTACTTTTGATTAATATAAGTTTATTATAGGGTCATTAACTTTGTTTTTTATTTACCAATCTGTTACCATGTTGGTAGGGAAAAATCTTGAAAAATGGCGTTTTATGGTTTTACAACGTGACGATGTTACCCTTACAAAGAACACCATATTCACTTTAATATGCATACAAAATGAACCTTAGTCGGTGATGCTATAATTATTTTACATATTCATTAATTTACAAAGTAATCTGGCAACATTTTCATTTTAAAAAAAACTCTAGGCACAAGGTGCAGAGAAATGAGTTTTTAATGATAATTTTGACAAAGTATTCGATAGATTTTACGTACATTCTACACATATGTTGAACTATTTCGCTGAATTTCATTCAATAAAATTTAAGCAAGTATATCAACTAAATAAATTATTTTTCGACTTTCAGTGATAACAGTTTTAAAACGTGCCAAATGTGTATGCAAAATATTGCCAGAACCTATGACATAGCATATTTACTCTTTCTTGATGGTAGAATAGATTTGATAACACTTTTAACAATTAATATCCATCTAAAAGTGAAGACACATTTAACATGAGAAAAAGAGAGTGAAGACACATTTTACATGAGAAAAAGAGAGTGAAGACACAATTTACGTAAGGAAAAGAGAATGAAGATACATTACACATGAGAAAAAGAGAATGAAGACACATTTTAACATCATATGCTGTTCTTTTGTTGAACACACATTCAAATGGAGATCTAAAAAGGATTTTGTTTTACTAATTATTATAAATACATTTTTTTTGTAACCTATCGAAGCACTTCTCCACGAAATAAAAACCTCATGATATAAAAACTGTATCAAATATTGCAAAAGAAGACGCTATGCAATACACAAAAAACGATTCTTTGCCACATACCAAAAGATGATTCTTTGTGATATACAAAAAGGTAGTTCTTTGTGGATAATTAATCTACATATTTACAAAGCAACTAAATGAGTACAACGTATATTGGATTAAAGTCTGGGAAATTTCTATGATAGCATACTTTCGATAAAAATTGTGGACGTAAATTCAAAATAAGTTAAGACACAGATGTCATTCTGATAGATGGAATAGCTTTGAAGAATCGAATAATTGGAGATAAAACTAAAAAAAGGTAATTTAATCCCAACTTGGTATATCATACTTGCTGGATACGTATTTTATAATAATGAATGTCTAATAAAATCCCGTTCAGTACGAAAAAACCGACGTACATAATCGAGAAAAAATATACAATAATATAAAAATAAGGCGATGTGATATAACTGCCAAAATTACACAAACAATATATAAATAAGGCGTGTGATATGATTGTCAAAATTAGACAAACAATATAAAAATAAGGCGATGTGATATGATTGTCAAAATTCAATAGACCAAAGGACACAGATAAGAACTGTACAATTAAAAAAACCCAATACCGTATAGTAGGCTATAAAAGGCACAGAAAAGACTTTAAATATACTGTTCAGTAGCTTGTTAGAAGAAACAATGTATTAAGGAAAACCTGATAGGAATAACAGTAAGTTTTGGAATATCGTATCAACTGGGTGTAAAATACTGCACATGTACTGCTGGTGTCTCGGTCATAAAACTTTACTCAGTACTCGGAGTACAAAATGTGTGCTCGAAAGACCAAATCCAGTACTTTGATTGGCTGATTTCTGAGTCTGAGTACGATAGTCGTGCTCGAAATGTTTATGACCGCAAGGCCAAAACTGTCGCTTAACCAGTTGTGGAAAAATCACAATTATGAAATTGAAGTTTAATTCTCATTAGAACCTCATTGTAGATATAAAGCTCAATATTAAGTCTTCTTCACTCATTGATGACAGGACTAGGTTTTCAGTAGCCAAGTTTTGTGTCTTGATTCTGACACAATCAGTTGCTCGTGTATTCCCAGAATTGCTTTTTGGTGTTGTATCATGTATATGTAACACTAAGACAATACAATACTTTTATATATGTTTCGCATAGGGCTTGAAAGAAATGGAAGAAATTAACAATTATATATA